ATCGTAGTGATCCTGAGTTGTGGTTTGCTCAACTAGAGCATTATTTCACAAGACACAATATCAAATCTGAAGGGATTCGCTATAGAGACTTGTGTTCTATCCTTCCTCCTTCAGTCGCCAAAGAAGTCCGTGACTTGATTTTAAGTCCACCATCACCACAACCATACACCATCTTAAGACGAGAGATAATGAACCGTTTATCATTATCAGATAGTCAAAGAATCCAAAGACTTTTTCAAGGTGAAACACTAGGTGATCGGTTGCCGTCACAGTTTTTACGTCACCTCCAAGTCTTAGTGGGTGATAACACAGTGGGTGAAGCAGTCCTAAAACAAGGATGGATACAAGCTCTCCCATGCTACGTCCAACACTGTTTGGATGCACAGGATCCTGAAACCTCATTATCTCATTTAGCGCGTATAGCCGACAGAATAATGGAAAGAGGTCCTCCAACTAGATCAGGCACAATAAATCACACACAAAAAGTAGAATCAGCAAAAGACCCCGTAATAGAAGGACTCATTGCGAGTGTTAAGAGTCTCACTGAGGCTGTCACCAGAATGCAAATGCGTCATAGAAACAGGAGCAGGTCACCACAACGACCACGATCCAAGTCACAAAACAGGTCACAAATGTCCAGACAATCTGGGCAGTTTTGTTGGTACCACTGGAAGTTTGGTGTCAACTCAACCAAGTGCATGCAACCATGCGCCTGGCCTAAGCATAATTCTAAGACAGCAGGAAACGAGTAACCCCTCCCCAGGTCGCGACGACTGAGGAGGGGCGCCTAAACAGTCGCTTGTTTTATGTTAGAGACAGAAACTCTGGCTTGAATTTCTTGGTGGATACTGGCGCTGCTCTTAGCATCATCCCTCAAAATAAAACTGAGATTAGTCGAGAAACATCATCAATTACACTTCAAGCTGCAAATAAAACTAAAATCGTGACATTTGGGCAGAAAACTTTAACCCTAGATTTGGGGTTCAGGAGGCAATTCCCTTGGGTTTTCACGGTACCCGACTTAGATCTGGCAATACTGGGGATGGACTTTCTAGAGAGATACGAATTTCTAGTGGACACCAAAAACGGCGATTAACACTAAAAGATACTATCCCCGTTTTATTCCTAATTTTTCTTGTCGTGCAAATTGTTTATTTAATATTTTGACATCCAATTCATTCAAATGGAGTAAGGAACAAGAGTCATGCTTACGAAGTTTACTAAAGTTTCTTCCAAGTGATGCTGTTCTTCGAACGTACTCCACTAACGTACATTCTGTGCTTATTATTGATGCATAACCTGTGGGAATTGGTGCAGTTTTGGAACAGGAAGGTAGACCAGTTATTTGTGTTTCACGCAAACTTACTGTTACTGAACAAGGTTATTTACAGACTCAGCGAGAAGCATTAGCTGTGTTTTGGATTGTTAAAAGACTTCATAATTATTTATTCGGAAGGAAATTTACTATTGTTACGGATCATGAAGCTTTAAATTTTATTTATCATCCTGAAAAATCCTTAGCACGTTCCTCAGCCGCTATGGTTCAGCGATGGAGTATTGCTTTGAGTGCATATGGCTATACGGTTCAGCACAGAAGTGTCAAACAAATTCAACATGTTGACTACATTTCTCGACAGTCATTACAAGATAGACCTATTAATACTTCGGACTGTTTATTAGTGCAACCTTTACCATTGAGACGTCCAGCGGGGTGAGCTATTTGCCACTCCTGATGGTATTCTGTGTTTAAATGATCGTGTTGTCATTCCTCCTTCATTGAGTAAATCTGTTCTTGAAGATCTTTATAGTGGTCATTTAGGTGTTGAGAAAATAAAGTCCCTGGCAAGGCTCACATGTTGATGGCCAGAGATAAATGCAGATATATGTCGTACGGCAAACAATTGTGAGAAATGTCATTAGTTGAAAAATCAGCCTTCGAAGTGGACTCCATGGCCAGTATTGTCTGAGGCCTGGGAGATAATTCATGCTGACTATTGTGGTCCGTTTCTTGGTAAATACCATGTACTTTTTCAGAGTGGCCTGAAGTTTTTAACAACTTCACCAAATTCTGATTTCACAATCCAAGCATTAAGAAAGGTGTTTAGTGGAGAAGAGGTTCCTATGATGTTAGTGAATGATAATGGCTCTCATTTTGCTGCAGATGCAGTCACTACCTGGTTGAACGGTACAGGGTGCAAACATCTATTTACTGCTCCTAGACATCCGTGTTCTAATGGCCAGGCAGAGAATTTTGTCAGGACATTAAAGACTGCTATTGATTCTATAGCCGCCTCAACATCCAATGAGCTGGAGAGGGGAGTAGATACCTTTTTATTGCAATACAGAAATGCCAGACATTCGGTGACGAAGGAGACTCCAGCGAAGCTACTGAAAGGAAGAATTCTTCGGTCAAATATGAGATGTTTGGAGTCTGCAGAAGTTACATACTGTCGAGGAAATGATCTTCGACCATCAACGGGTATTGTTCTGAAGAATGTCGGAAAATCGATGGTGCAAATTCTAGACATCAATGACTTAAGTACACACAGTCGACATGTTAATCAAGTACATTTTCAGGAACCAGGTGAGTTTGTTCCAATTTCCGTTGTTAATTCTAATGCTAATGAGCACATTCTAGATAATACAGAATCCTTATCCAAGACAATGTCAGACAGATTGAGGATGAATTTGAGAAGAAGACGTACGATTGATTACAAACACCTAGACTCCAATTTAAGCTGTGGCGGATGTGGTGTTTGAATGAACTGATGATACCTTTGTACTTGTTGATTGAACGATTTCGAATTCCAAATACAATACATTCGTTTGTGCTTGTGTCGTAGTTCTTGATTCAATTGTGTTAATTCTGGGATTCCTAGTTCATACTACAATTCAAATAATTCAAATATTATAGAAAGTCACATCATTGTCTACACTGCCTCATCCTATCATAATCATCGCCAATATTTGATGGAGAATGCACTTAGGTCGAAGATAGAACGAAATATTCAATACGAATAAAAGTGATAAGTTACACAAGAATGACCACACCTGCGAGACTGAGACATGCCATTCGACTGATTAAATTAATTCTCTTCACCTTCTCCATTGTTGGGTTTATCTCCACGTCGAATGTTGAATATCTATTTTCCCAGTCGTCTCGTGTTTAGCTTTGGGGATTGTGTGGTTTGGGCCTAATCCCACTGGAAGCGTAAACAGAGGTGTCATGTCTCGTAATTTGTCAGGTGCCCGGCGATCGGATGACATTCGTTTGTAGAGGCAAATAACTACACAGAATAAATAATTCTGCAAGACTTTGACATCACTGCTGACCTCGGTAGTTTTCCCGGAGAGACCGTAGATGAAGGCGCTCAGTTATACATCCTTCGCAAAAGTTAACCAGCTAAGACCAAACGCCTCTCCAAATATCGATAACCTTACATATATGTCATTGAACGACTCGATTTATGGCTTCTTATTTGACTATGATCACACACTTCGAATATAAGGGTGTAACATGTAAAGGAGTTGTCAAACTTTGAATATTTGTGGAATCTTCACTTTAAACAACACGTCAAAATGCGACCCGTTAGTGATGCTTAACTGAACACATTCAGCTAGTGACGTTCGATTAATCTAGCACAGTTATTGTCGTTATTTATTTTGGGAAATAGTTAACGCAACACAATGTGTCAAGATATTGATTAGTTTAATATTCTTTAATTTCAGAATATCTGATCTTTTCACAAAATACGCACGGTGTGTTATTGATATATGAGACAAAGATGTCACAGCATGCATAAATCGAAGATAAATAAACAAGATAAAGGAATGATTTCAAAGGGGAAGAATGCATTTGCATCTGGATGTTGTGTTATTTTAATGTTCCAGTTATTTGTTTAACATATTCAGATAAGACAACTGATTAGAACTGTTGAGTGTAATTGCTGTTATTCAGATAATACGAGATAGATAAAATGAAATTACACAGCATATCTGATAGAATAGTATTACGGGGTGATTTCAACTCATTGGTGTCAGGGATATACAGGTGGTCATTAGAAGTAAATCCTAACAAGAGTGTAGCGATGAAACTAAATAACTATAATCATTCGTATCACTACACAATATATGGATTCGTGTTACCCAAAGTAAGAAACTATAAAAATTTAGGAGTCATACTAAGCAACAATCTCAAAACTACCAGTCACTGTAGGGCTGATGCTACAAAAGAGCATGAATTATTATGGTCTATTCGTAGGTCTTTCCAGTATTGGAATGAAGCAATGTATAGACTATTATACCCGTCTTTTCGTGCGATCACATTTGGAATATGGGATTCAAGCAGCGGGCCCTTGTTTCAAGTATGAGGCGGATATGCTGGAACGAGTCTAATGACGAGGGACTAAGCTGGTATAAGGTATATCTGGCCTATCTTATGAAGACAGACTGAAACAACTTAACATATTTCCGTTATCTTACCGTGGAGTACGAGGTGACCTGATATTGGCTTACCGTAAACTAAACGATGACCTTGGTACCAACGGGTCTTGTCTTTTCCTTCCGTCTAGGACTGATCATCTGAAAGGACATTCGAAGGTAATCCAAAAACCGAGATCAAAAAGTCGACGTCTGGAGTTTCGTTTCTCTCACCGAGTAGTGAATTACTGGCATTCTCAACCAGAACACGTAATATCAGCACCTTCTGTTGATATATTCAAAACTAGATTGGGCCTCTACAGTTTTACAAACTGCAAGAATTAATATAGGTGGATAGACCTCCTTTTCTTATTATAGCTTCCAATCAATTGGTGACAGTCCAAGTGTTTGACACTAGGTATTAACTTGGTGAATTTCTAGCGATACCATTTTGTGTCTATGAACCAACGTCGGATTCGTGGGCATGTTTTTATTTGAGAAACGAAGACTTTGTTTTTCTACTTACATTTGTAGGACACATTTTTCGGAGGACGCGTTGACATATTCAGTTTGTCTACGTGATGGGTTTGTCGAAGCTTAGTATTTCAGATGTTGACCTTAAAGGGAAACGTGTTCTTATTCGGTAAGAATGATTTTAGCTGATTAACGTTGAGTGCTTTGTAGAGTTGATTTCAACGTCCCTATGAAAGATGGGAAAGTTACTAACACTCAAAGGTAATAGTCGGAGATTAAAGTTACTTTGTACCATTTTAGAATAGCAGCTGCCATACCAACTATTAAATATGCCTTGGATAAGGGGGCTAAGAGTGTCGTCCTAATGTCCCATTTAGGTCGGCCAGATGGGAACAAAGTCGATAAGTATTCTCTAAAGCCTGTATGCCCTGAAGTGTCAAAGTTGTTAGGCAAAGAAGTTACCTTCCTCAGTGATTGTGTTGGACATGATGTAGTTAATGCGTGTGCTAACCCTGCTCCTGGAAGTGTTTTTTTGTTAGAAAATCTACGCTTTCACGTTGAAGAGGAAGGAAAAGGTGTCTCACCGACCGGCGAAAAAGTTAGTCCTGTCTTTCATTTTTTATAGTGTTCGGATTACTATAGAGTGTCACAAGTCGCCGCCACAAACTAGGGCTAATCAGTTAGGAACGTTCCTATCTTTGTAGTTCCTAAATGTTCAGTACCAAAACAACCAACTGGTAGGATTCTCACTGTAATATGAAGAGTTCCGTATGAGCATCGTTTGTTTTCGTACTGCCACCAAAGTTTGTTCTAGGACTATCAATGATTGGAGCGCTTTATTGGTTCTAAAGCTATTTCAATGGAACTATAATTTATAGACGAATCAGTCAGATTCCCGTTAGTATATTATGGATTTAGGCTTGATTTTCATCCATCCTTATTTCTAGGCAGCATTCTGACACCATAGCTAATGTCAATTCGTAATGAAAATCCTTACTCTTATAGTCCTAGCGTCTAGTTGTAAATCCTACTTCTTTATGCTAATTTATTGCTCATTTAGTAAGTAGGTGGATGTTCTCAGGGTCAACTATGCGACGCTCAGATGTCTTTAAATTACAGACTCACCGTTATTCCGTGTCATATCATCTCTTATATATTGTCAAAATAGAGAGATAAAATTAAGATGCAGATCTAATATTACATATTTCATTTGATGTAAATTTACTATTCTGTCGAATTATTCAGCTATTTTATGGATATCTGCAAGATTCGTAAATTTTCTAAGCAGATCATATGGACGTATTGTCTACTTCTTGAGAATAACTCCAATTAGTAATACTTCCGGGCACCATATATTTGCTTAACGTTAACTAGTATCTACGGGATTTACTGCAGTGAAGTAATAATTCAATAGATTAGCTTTCTGCCTTTAATGATCCTTAACTGAAGACTTGCAAGCGGATCTCGGGTACAATCCATAAACACTATTACTCGTTATTATAAACTCCATATTCTATTTTTTGACAGACAAAAGCCACTGCTGATCAAATCAAGGCTTTCAGTGAAAGTCTGACAAAACTTGGTGATGTTTACGTCAACGATGCCTTTGGGACGGCACATAGAGCTCATGCGTGAGTTAGGCTTGCATCTTTTTGTATGAATCTTTTTTAGTAATGAGATCATCTTTAGAGTTAGTCGGGCTCGAGAAGCTAGTGATTTTATAAACATGCAACGAATAGGACGACCAAAAAGCCTAGTAAACGTGTTCAACACTATAAATAAATGCGCAACGCTCAATTGAGTTGTATATTGTCAGCCTCCTACAAGTCAGAAAGATTACTCAATTTCAGCATGATAAACCCACTTGTTATCAGTTGGAGGACAATTATTCCATTTGGCTTAAGGAAATAAATCAAAATAAAAAAGATATGTGTTATGAGCACTTTTATTACGACCCAGCTACTCTTATTGCTTAGTGTTCCTGACACCACTTCACCCGACATGTCTCCAGAGCAGAACACAGTTGGAGAGAAACGTAGTTGTATTCTAAATAGCAAGATAGAATGAGAACAAGAATCACAATAAGGAAAACGGCATATTTACGATCATTCACTAGAAACTTTTAGTCTTCCCCAAGTATACGCTAACACTGGCTGCGAAATAGCTGTGCATCGCCCTAAGTTGTTATACCTCACATCAACAGAGTAGATCATGATTAGAAACAAATGGAGAGAAATAACACCTATGAACCATATTGTTTGTTGTTTTATTTTACAAATATAATTTTTCAGGAACTCATACATTAGTATGTAGAAAAAAATTTCAGCTTAGTCTATGACTTAATAAATATGAAACATGGCCATTAAGGGTAGAGGTTATTCATAGGTTACTGGTATTCGATCATAGGTGTCTATGAAGCATTGCTTGTGCATTTTAGGACCATGGAGTAAGCCATGACTGGGTTGTGGATAGAGTACCATATAAAGATTTAAAATCGATTGGTGAGGTATTAAATCTTCACCAACTGAGGTGGTTGGTGTTGTGACTTTAAATTCGGCTAGTTATCACGTGATCTATTCGCCAATCGAAATACGACCTATACAATCTTAGCACTGTGTCTAACCAATGACGTTCGACTTGTATTAACAGCCTAGCGTCCTTTGTTCACCTAGCCCGTCCAGTTGAGTCCAGAACACAGATACCAGCTTCCACTATGCGAATCATTTATTTCAAACATACTCGGCTTATATACTTGTTATAATCTCTTTTTTACGGTTATGACCCAGCTATTCCTATTGCTTAGTATTCTTGGACACTAAATCACTTGACAAGACCCCAAATCAGAACATGGTTGAACAGGAAAGAGATTATATTCCAAATAAAAAGGTTAGATGGAAGCAAGATGCAAGCCAGAAGCACAATAGGGAAAACGTCAGCTTATTTATGGTTTTTTATATAAGAAGATTCCAGAGTATTCTCCAACTATCGACTAGTGCTGATTGGATAAGAATTAGGCAATCAACGTGCACCAAAGCAATCATGCATTGAGCATGCTTTAATCTAGTCTATGTCCCGCTAACAATACTAGTCAGACGGACAACATCACACCATAAAATAGGAAATAACATTTATACAAGATTAAGCCAAAAAGTGGCTATGAACGTGGGAGACTGTAATCAATAAACTAAGTATAATTCGAGAACAGTAAATCATATAATATTAATCTACAGGTCAAAATGTACCAATGTTTGTGTTTAAATAAATAAGAAGTAGAAATAAATGAAGTTTATAATAATAGGAATATAGATATACATAACCTAGTTACTGAACAGTTATACAATAGGCATATATATATTAGTCCATTAATAGTTCGCAGAAGTTACCCGTAATTTAATCTTCACTATAATGTAACCGTTGGCGTGAGAGTAGGTTTGGATGAACACCAAGGGAGGCCAAACCAAAACATGTCATCAGTCCACGAAGTCTGTGACAGTTGTACTTTGCCATGTTTTTAGGCGCAGATTATCTGGTTAGGGTCCGCGTGATTATCGTAACCAATGAACTTTGAATGATACGGCTTAAGATCGTTTGTAATTGCGCAGGTGAACCTGTTCTTTGTCCTCCCTGAAGTTCTAAATTCCTCACAACTATTTTGTTTTCATTTTATTAGTTTATACTTTCTTTTCGAGTTGTATCTTTGATGCCTAATCTTTCCTATTATTACTGAAACTTTTACTGCCTCTACTATTCTGGAATTTGGCCTGATAACTCGATGTGTTGATGGGGCATAGCAACTTGAACCGATGTACATGCATACAGGTCCTGACGGACCGACTATCACCTTTCCAACTAAAAATCAAACACATAATAAAGTTTCTGGTTCTGAATATAATCATTCAAGACAATATCATTCTACATTTTCCACTGTTTTCGTTATAATTCAATATTGAATCATTTTAATGTTAGATTACTAAATTACTTAACAGGTATAGATTCGTCTACTTTAAGCCACATTGTGCGACAACAAGTGATACTAGCTTGTTCCCCAAACCGGAGTAGGTGAGATTCACACCTGCGTTTTTATGACCAGAAGTCGATGGCCCTAACCACTCAGCCACAGCTTCACATTCTTTGGATAATGAGTTTTTGTATAGTTTATCCTGGTTTTACGTAACTCAACCATTTCTTCGTCATTTTGCTTTATAGTTCTATGGTCGGCTGCCAACTGCCACAAAAAGCCTGTGGATTTCTCATGAATAAAGAACTGACATATTTCGCCAGAGCTTTGGAAAATCCAGAACGTCCTTTCCTAGCTATTTTGGGAGGGTAAGGATTTTGTTTATTTGCTGCATATATGTCCAATATATTAGTATATTTTTCAGGTTTCAAACCAAATTTAAGCTGTTATATATAGTTAAAGTAATTCCTTTCTTTTGTCTAGTGCCAAGGTTAGCGACAAGATCCAGTTGATCAATAATATGCTTGACAAAGTTAATGAATTGATCATCGGTGGTGGGATGGCATATACATTTCTTAAGCAAATACACAACATACATGTAGGTCACCGTATATTTTTGTATTTGTATCTAGACGTTTGTATTATATATTCGCATTAGTAACAGCAACTGGAGTAAATTTTCCACTTTTCTGTCTTCACAGTAAAAGTTGTAAGAAGTAAATAAAGCAGTCTTGACGGGCGCGCTATGTCTTAGTGGTTTCTCATAAGGGCTACGACTTTAACGTTTTGTTTATAAGAAAACTCCCTCTTTCTACCGATACTCTTTTTTAGTATCATCTGTAGGCTCTATCGAATTTTCCTTCTATTAACTTCTACACAGTGACCCGCGAATGAACAAAATAGGGCTCGATGCAAGAGAAGACAAACACAACAGATGGAGACGTACTTAAACCCATCATGTCTCAGTACACTTATATGTAACTTCAAATTAACAGCTAAGCTTGAAGAACTATAATTTGTCTGGTGACTGATTAGTCCTTAAGTAAAATTTTAGTTGTGTAGTCTTACTTCGTTGATTCAGTTATCCCGTTCTTCAAACAAACCCCCCTCCATCTGTTCAGACGTTAGTGTTTATTGCCTAGTTAAATTTAACTGTATGATTTTAGTTTGCATTAGTCGGCTCTAACACTATTGTAATCAGCCGAGATAATTATGTTGTTATTTATTTATTTATTTATTTGAACACATAAATATTGGTACAAGAGGGCACCAAATTTATATGCGCCACACAAAACAATGAGAATTTAAAGACAAGGAAAAAAAGGTAAGGAGCGTGAAAGAAAAAGAGAACAATAACGAACAGATTGATGTAAGGTAGTGTAATAATAATAGTAATAATGGGGGAACGGAAAGGTACAGTCAGAAGAAATCTTTCAGTTAAGGAAGTAGCAACCACTGACTTCTGTTCTGAGCCATATCTGATAACGTCTCTAGCCACTGTGTAGCACCATCTCTCGGACCCCAGCCAGGGAGTCGTGAAGGACCAACACAAGCCAGTCTTTTGCAGCTTTCTTTCATACCACGACACCATGTCATACACTGATCACCTCTCCGCTCTGGCTTTCACTATATGTGCATTGATCTCATCACTCACGCCACCACCAGCACTTATGCAGCTATCCAGATACACGAACTTCTCGACTACTTCTATCTGCTCACCATCCAGGGTGAGTACAGGATTAGGATCCTGCCAGTCTTGTAGAAGTACTTTGCACTTCGAAGGTGCAGATCCACACCCCCATTACCTACATCCATCAGAGCGGTTTCCAGAATGTCATCGATGGCAAAGTTGAAGAGGAATGGTGAGATTGGGCAACCCTGCCTAACCCCACTGCTCGAATGGAACAATGGAGAGAGGTGGTTGTATGCCCTCACTCTGCCTGAGGTGTTTGTATATAGGGCCTTTAGGATGTTAATAAACTTCTCAGGCACACCCTTCTTCAATAGACAATCCCAGAGAACAGTCCTATCCAACGAATCGAAGGCAGCCCTGATGTCAAGAAACACTACGATTGTTGGCCTTTGATAAGTATGGCGGTGTTCTAACATTTGGCGGAGGGTGAAGATATGATCAATACATCCTCGACCAGAACGAAACCCAGCCTGCTCCTCGCGAGTCAATCTTTCTCGGGTTTGGAACAACCTACGAAGTATGACGGAAGCCAATAGCTTGGACGCAATCGGAAGTAGACTTATCCCCCGATAGTTGTTACAGGAACGACGTGAACCCTTTTTAAAGATAGGGACAACTGTCGACTCATTCCATGACGTTGGTACACTCTCTAGCTCCCACACCTTTGTAAACAACGTCGTCAGTTCCTTAGTCACAAAGTCACCACCATCTTTAAAAGGAGGCGGAGGTAAGTCATCTGAGCCAGGTGATTTGTAACGCTTCAAGAGTTGGAGTTCCTTGCGGACTTCCGCCTCATTTGGTGGATCAGTCGTCACCTGCCATGGGGGGGGCAGGACAGTCTGACCGATGTTGCCGGAGCAACAGGCCAGTTGGACTGCCCATCGTCCAAGACGTCGATGGATGTTAGTGATTGGCACCCGGTCATCCTCGCAGATTGTTTCGCCCACACAAGACTTCTTGCTGCCAGTGGCTCGGGTGGGTTGGAAGAGCTTCCGGTAGTTACCAGATGCAGCTTCTGCCTCCAGCTCATTAGCACGCTCCGAACACCAGGCTTCTCGGTCCGTACGCAAGCTTTGCTCGGTTTCATTACGTAACAGTCGTCGTTTGTGGTCAAACTCACGGTTACCCGGAGTAGACCGACGGGCTTCGATGAGTTGTACGGAGCCTGAAGAAACCCAGTGCTTGTAAGCGGGACGTTTTGCGAACCCACAACTGACTTTACTCGCCATTTTGATGGTGTCATGCAATTGCAACCAATGCTCATCTATACATTTCGGTGGAATGGTAGCTAGCCTAGAAGCTAGCTGTTTGACACTTACTAGCAACAGAAGTTGCAACCAACTTGCTAACATCAACCCTTTGGTGACGGTCACTTCGTTGGCCACTGAAAAGTAAGGTAAGATAGGCGCAGACCAAGGCATGATCGGAGTCTAGATAGGTACTCCAAAACGAGAGGCAGTCCTGTACACAACCACGCCAGCGGTAACTGATCGCGATGGGATCAACCTGAGTCCAGGCTTGAGATGCAGAGGGAGGACGCCAGGTGGCACATCGGCGATGGCTGTACCGGAAGTTAGTGCTAGTCAAAAATAGGTTGTGGTATGTGCACAGTTTCATTAGACGGTCCTCGTTATCTGTCCTGCGACCAACAAGTCCCAATCGGCCACCTAAACAACTCTCTTCTGTGTCTAGACGCCCGACCTGAGCATTCAAGTCTCCGGCTAGTACTACAATATCTGTCGAACAGTTGACTGGTGGTAGAATTCATCCTTGATTGCATCCGGGCTGCAATCTGTCGGGGTATAGGTGGAGATGACGGAAAGACATTGTTTCTCACGCCGATTTCTTCTCACTTTGATGGAACTTTCTAATCTAACAGAAAATAACCGACTGTTAATGGGGATCCTATCGATTAGTGCTGCCTCTGCTCTAGCGCTTAATGCGACACCAACGCCAGCAAGACCAGACGAAGGTGCCACAGGGTCCCCGGATAAGCGTACGTAAAACAAGCTTTCCAAGCGACAGATGGAGATCGAATTTGTAGTACTTCGCCAGAGTCTTGAATACGGGTCTCGGATAGACAACAAACATCAATAATAAGACTTCCTAAAGACATAGCCATCCCTATCTGTTGTTCGACCTGCATAAATGTGCGAACGTTGAAGGCAGCTAGTTTGAATGGTGCACGTGGTTTCAGAAAAACTGCTCCAGTATTCGTATTAGGTGGTAGCGTACAATTTTCAACCAGGCAGTGACTTGAGAACGTTTAGATAGAACCAAGTTTCCACCACAGGCGAGCTGCTGTATAAGTCGAAAAATCAGGATACATAAAGTGGGAATAAATGAGAGTGAATAAATGACGTAGTAAATAATAATAATGTGAATTGGTTGACTGTAAATCGAAGCGAGAGTAGAGTTTTCAATAAATACCATCATTATCATTATATTTGTACGTGGGCTGTGATACTTCCCGGGTGCCCAGACCGAAGCAGGTGGTTTTCTTAGGGGGTCACACCTCGAGCCTTTGACCTAAAAGTCTAGCCCACAAGGCAGTGGAGCATCGTGAGGAGGTGCATTCCCATGGTAGTCGGTGACCAAGATTGGTTCCAACGCCATTTGTTCCCTCAGGATACTAGAGCCCATGTGCACCATTGGTTTGGGATCTGGTTAAAGCTCCGGATATTCGCTTTTCGTTCTCTCATTTTCGTAAACAACCCCCATCCGCCACGAGAAGGCAGTGAATAGGACTTCCCTGTCATGGATGGGATTTATTGGTTTCTCGTGTGATTTTAAAGTGACGAACTCTTTCTATGTATTTGCGGATTTCATTTTGAACAGATAAGTCTACTCAACATACATCTTTGTTAAATTATGTATCACTTTGAGTCCTTACACTTCAGCACAGTAAAGTTTAATGGCTAGGAAAGAAAATTGTGGAAAGTTAATGATGGAAACCGTTCTTAATGTTTGAAGGAAAAAGGTTTATACAATCAGTATTTTTACGTTGATGAGGTAAAGAAAAACAGAGTACAGGTGTGCTACTGTGTTTAGTTTTGAGTTTTGTCCTTAAAGTCAGCAATCATCGGTTACGACCATACCGCGCATGCTAATATGGAAGTTGTGTCTTCATGTATGGTTCAGACTTATGGCAAATGGCTTCTAAGATCAACGTCATATATTGGTCTAGTCGCTGTTAGATTCTTAGTGAAGATTATAGGTGAATTATTTGACGTTTATCCATTCACCTTAGGTCTGTGAGATTGGTTAGTATTATTGATTCATAAATCAACTAACTGGGAACGTAGTGGACTGACATATTTTCCAGGTTGCTTTAATTAACGTGATTATTTTTCGCACTTTTATACCAAATAAAATGGTTCTGTAGTAGGGGGTAGCTGAACTTGCATTACAGGTATTTTAACAGCTTCAGTCAATCTAAGCTTACGAACTTACCAACTGATTTATCATATTTATCTAGTATTCTGTGTATCATAATATTGTTAAGCTGTTTCACCATAGTAAATTCAAATAATGTTTTAGTCACATCGATTATGAAATTTTTTCAAATCTTGAATATACTATGCACTCAATGCTCACGTCTCACCTCTAGAATGTACGTGAGTAAAATGTTTATTTGTCTTTTCTTATTTTCAGATAGGAAATAGTTTATTTGATGCACCGGGTGCAGAAATCGTCCACAAAGTAATGGAAACTGCAAAGGCTAAAAATGTTGCAATTCACTTACCTGTTGACTTTGTAACTGCTGACAAATTTGCTGACGATGCGAACACTGAAGTAAGAACTATACAATCTGGAATTGCCGATGGCTGGATGGTGAGTTAAACTTTTATTCATAACAGAAGTGAATAACAAATGTGTTTGTCAGTAATTTTTTATTATTTTGTGTATCAACTTTAAACATAGACATCTAGCCTTCCAATTCAATCAGAAGAAAATTTACTTAATAGTAAGGTGACTTTTCTTTACAATAGTCTCCAAATACTCTGGACGGTCGAGAATGGGAAGAGTCCGCTATCCTTCTCATGGTCACCCGTATATAGCCGCTTCCAAGGAAGTGCTAACTGCATTTTCACGGCGAGGTTTTTGTTTACGGAACTGAATGAACAGGGAGCAAATTTTTGGCGCTTTTGTCGAGTTGGTGGATACTGAAAATCCACCTAGGGGAGTAGCTATGAAACCATGAATACAAACTCATGGGACATATTATCTCCAGTATACTGAGGGAATAAATGACGTATAAACCTATTGTTAGTCACGCGTTACCACAGGACAACATCTCCTAACGTTGCTCCACTGCCTTGTGGATTAGACATCTATGTCGAGCTCGTAAAGTGGCCTCCTAGGGAAACCAAATCCGGACAGAATTCCAGCCCACACAGATTTAATGATAGCTACTTTATGTGGCGCACATAAATTTTGGCACCCCTTTGTAGCAATCCTTGTGTTTAAATAAATAAAATAAGCATCATTTAGAGAAATATTGTGAATGAAAAAGCGCTAAACAAGTATATCTTTAGTTTTGGAAAGAAGTATGGATAACTAATGGCACTAAGGGTTCGCAAAGGAAACTCCGAGCTATTCACTCCGGTAATTACTATATTCACTCTTTTACATCAAGACATTTTTAAGTGTATAAAGATGATCCTCCTTTTTCATGTGTTCGAGTGCATTGTATGCATAAAAACTCACAGTTTACAAAAATAAAGTTGTCGGTAAAGGAATCCTCATTAATGAAATCTGTTACAATAGATTAAATGTTTTCACTAGGTGCATAGTATTTGTTTTGTTGTACGGCGTGCTTTACCCCATAAAAATCCAGTAAATCACTAAATCAAGATTCATATGTTTACGTTAAGAATACGCTTCCTATATTATCTAATGTTGAACACCTTTGGATAACATCTAACCGCTAGTTCCCTTGCACTGGATTTTTATTAATTTCATAAGGGATTAGATATTGGTCCGAAAACAATTGAAGAATTCAGTAAGGTGATTAGTCGTGCCAAAACTATTGTTTGGAACGGGCCGATGGGCGTTTTCGAAATGGACAAGTTTGCAAGAGGAACGAAAGCAGCAATGGATGAAGTGGTCAAAGCTACTAAGAATGGTGCTACAACTATTATTGGTAAGTTGTATTTATCCAATTCCATTATCCTCGTTGAACCAATACACTGCTTTTAATGAGTTATTTTCATTTCCAAAGTAGTAAGGTATAAACCATAATCAAAATTGCAGGCAGTATTACAAATTTATGTTTTAATATCCAGTAAATTTGAAAAAAACTTATCCTTTTGCATATGGAGTCCTTATTTTCATTTGTTTCTCCAATATTTCTGTAGGTGGTGGTGACACCGCAACATGCTGCGCCAAATGGGACACAGAAGATAAAGTTAGTCATGTCAGTACTGGTGGTGGTGCTAGTCTTGAACTTCTCGAAGGTAGGAATGGCTTCAGTCCAATTACTTGCATTTAATTTCTGTATGACGGTATGATCGGCACGTTTATGTTGTATTTGACATTGATTTCTCTAATCTGGAGCCCAGTCTACCGGCTAGTACTTTTCCTGCGTAGCAGATAGACTGCCTTAAAAATAAATTTGGTTGTATTATATATACTGCAGCTATGGAGTACAAGTTATACTTAAATTGTTTTAATTCAAAAATTTACGTATTCAAGTAATGCAGTTTCACAGAGAAGAATGTTTAAGCGGAACGTTTTCATTAACTTAAGATACAGACTTCACAACCATGAATCCTTAAATATGTTATCGTTGTGAGAGGTGGTTTAGTGCTTAAAGATTTTGAATTTCAACCAGTAGTTCCTATGTTTAAGCCCCATTCTGTTTTGGCATTCGGGTAATGTCACGTGCCTTAACACCAGGAGTATTATTATTGTTGTGAATACAGTAGCCGGTATAAGTCAGGCTTATAAGCAGTCAGTTTCGCGCACTGGAAATAATCGCTTTGACGTTGATTCTGGCTTTTTATGTCATTGGTACAGTTGACAAGTCCTGTATTAATGTCTCGAAAAACTCTTATAATAAGTTGATATCAGCAATGTTGAATCCTGGGGGATTTAGCACACAATGTGTTGCATGGTTATTATAATCATAGCAGTAATGACCACAGTAATATATTAATAGATTTAATACTGCATATACTGAATATAATTTTATTGGAAACAAATATTCATTTTTTTTACCATTCACTTAGATGTGTTTGTTTTCATCAAAGCAACTGTAATTTCACACCACATAACTGACTTCAAAAAGTCGTAAATCAAGATGCATTAGATATCCGTTTCGTCCCAGTATGGGACTCCTTAGCAGTGCATATCTTCGATTCCACCGGGGGCTGAACTCACGGTATACGTTAAATGTTTTGTCTTCTTTATTATAAATATGTTCTTGTTTTTCTGTTTCAGGTAAACAATTACCCGGAGTTGTTGCACTTACGGATGCTCACTAATGTGTTTGGTTATAATATCCCTTAACTTCATAATTAATTATAATTAGTGTTCTTACCTTCGAATTTTCACACTTGTTCTCAGTTTTATGATTACTTGGTATTGTTATACATGTGTTCTTGATTTGATGGATATTTTTCCTGTTTCATTTCTGTACGTGTAGATGTATTTCTCCCATATGCGCATTTGCTACCAATAGAAATTTCCGGTAATTGTTTTTTTCCACATATGTGCATAGCCATTGCCCATTATTTCTGAATATGTCAGAATAATTATTCACATCTTCAAGTGGTATATTCAAAAGGTGCTGTTGGCATTTAATTGTAACATCATTCATGAACGAAACTTTTGTCATATGTTTAGTATCAATAATGTTATTACGTTATCTGTCAGATTCATCGCAATTATCAAATCTCTGATTAAATGTTTGTAAAAATACAGGAAAAGGCAAAGTAGATCTTCCAAAATGTCCAAGACATTGATTTCCTCGTTATAGTTAAGCGTGTCGTACATTATGTGAACGTAAGCATGATATCGTAAAAAAGTAGTTATAGAGACTCTGATGCAACGGAGATCAAAGAAATCCTGTAACTATGGCTGATTATCCTGCTTCTTTCAAAGTGTTTCCGTATGACTAAGCTAAAACTAATAACTGTCGATGGAACATTAGGTTGTTTGACCAGAATCGCTGTGATGTTCAAAATTAATGGTTAAATATTTAAAGTAAAATATCTAAGTGTTGTTACTAATTGACTCATTGATACTGATTGTTTTGATAACCGGTTTTCTCAAATTAGGATCATAAAACAAATGATAACGCTAATAATTTGTCGACATCTATCTTCATTAAGCCACGACTATCTGTCTTTCTACAATTGTTGACTACGGTATTTTTAATCTTCAATTTTATGGTATGGCATTTATATACAGCGATCAGTGCAAAGTGGAGAGTACTACAAATTATGCCATTTAGTGCTTAACGATTGTTTGAACTGGTGATAGTGTTAAGGGGGTAATAAAATGTTTTAGGTGTCATCTTGACTTTCTTCTAAGTGACATAAAATAATTACTCCTTATCTAATAGATAAGTGATTAATAATTAATCATTCCGGCTTCAATTTTCCGAACATGAGCGATACATTTGTCCTGACTACAAAACTTACAATAATCCCTTTTGAGTTGGAAACACAGTATATGGGAAAATGTTTAATTTACTGATTGGTTGATCATCGAGATTGATCTTCATGGGTAGTTTGCAGCTTTATCGACTTTAAAAATCAACTAGTTTAAAATAACGATAAAATTAACTAGTCAATCCTGACGATGAAACTAGAGATGAGTGATCAGCCCATTAGTGAGTATTGTGATTGGATCCATTCGGTTGTGGCTATATGTACCGTTAAATGCTTCATCATTCGTGCTATTCGGGTTTGGTAGATGTAATAGACCAATTAGATCTAATTATTATAGATTTATAACGGGATGCACTGACAAACTAGAAGCTGTATGCTAAGCAAGGGGTAGCTTGTTTCCTGGTAACCAACTAAACAAGATGGTCTTTATTTTTTCAGCATTTGTCTCTACTCATAATAAGCTTGCTGTGGAGTGGCAAGACAGTTTGTTAGGAAAATAAGTGACGTGCTTGGATCATTACAGCGTTATCATTATATTTTCACTCCACTATATGCCAAAACTCGAAATGTACCAAGTACAGGTACGTTTATAAGACGTTGAGTATTTATAGATAACACATCCAATGACCGATGTGTTAAGACTGAAACCTGTTGATTAATAATCGGACACTCATAATCATGGTAAATGCTTGAGGTATCGTCATCAAGCTTTCCAAGCCGCGATTGTGAAGCTGGCCACATATATATTGTTCTCTGCTAGAAAGTTGGAAATATATCCGGTTTTCGCGTCTTTACTAGCAAACTTACGTGATTTCACAGGTTTTAAAACAATTAAAGATGTGTAGTCTAGAAGGTAAACCGAAGACACTCAGTGTTGTTACCAAGCTGCAAATCATGTTATAACTGCAACATCGAAGGTATGTGCACTCCACTTCAACCACTTTGATTAAACTAAGCAGTTAGTGTCGGTTATTTGCACTTGGGATTGTGACGTTTTGTCACTCGGAGTGGGATTTTCACTTGTTTAATTTTCTGCAATTTTAGATTTGATCATACGGTTTCATTTATTAAGGTTTGATGAATTCAGAAGTAAGAATGTTTTTATGAAATCACTTGAAATATATGAAGTTTACCAGTGGATACATTTAAGATTTTCGAAATACTCTATCTCCAATAAGTTTAAACAACGTTACTACTAAATAAGTCTGCACCATATGAGCCAGTGAATATCTATTTGAACAGTTCGAAGAAATTGTGCTTAAATAGGAATTTTATTATACAAAAGGAAACACTCACTATTCAAAATACAAGTTTCCCTTGATACGCTATTCATTTTAACAGACAATATTAATATAGTTGTAATTATTAATTGATAATATGAAGGTAAAATAACACCAGTGATATAAGAGGACATTGAATGGATTATTGGGAAAAATGTTATTTAAGATTTACAAGTATGTAATTAGTTGGTAATAGTGTCTTATTAATAAAGACCGGGAATATAATCAAGTGTAATGTTTATATTCTATATGTGAATATACTATTCTCATCAGAATTATTATTAGTTGAAGTATTATGTTTCTGAGTGTTATTTCGAACTATAAATACTTATTGTGTAGTGATGTGAAAGTACTTTATATGCATTGTATATTTTAAAAATATGAAAACGTATAAAAATCAGCGTTCCGCGTTTAATTGACTAAAAAAAATTCAATGGTAGGATTTTGAAAATGTATAAACTTGTGTCTGTGTGCGTGTGAAATCAATGATTGATGTGATCGTCTTCGTTAATGTTAAAATAGAACATAAACAGTATAGATTGAATGGTCTGATATATTGCCGATACGTGATTAGATTAAATAACTGACCGATAAATCCAATAAATTTTGTATTAACTAAATATAATTATTATGTCAATACATTATTATAAGTACGTAGTTAGTAGTAATAATAGAGATAGATTGTTCATGTATAATGAAGAGACAGAGATTGTAAAATAATAGATTATTAACTGATTCTCTACATCAAGTCCAATTAATAAGTATTAACAATAATTCATATCTTACTCATTTTGTTTATCATCTTAAACAGAACATTATTACTAACAACATTTTTTATGTAAGCACAAATATATTGAGGTAGTTTATTATATAGCAAAAAATAATAACAAATGCATTTGTTTCTTTGCTTTTAAAATATATATTTAGACGGTGACCATTTGTATTAAACGGTCATAATGCTTTGATTAATTTGAATTTATTGTTGTACAATAATCATTCTCTATTTGCTATTCAATCACATTGAACACAAGTACATTTTTTTGCTAATTTTATTGTTCGTTCATAAACAGCACCATTAGGACAATTAAATAATATTGGACGTAATTTAATTTTTGTAGCTTGACAACAGTGTTGTTTTGTTATTGATGGAGTAGTCTTATAAGAATTAAGATGTACTAAGTAAGGAGAGTTTGATTCTTTCATTTTTATCATATGTGATTGTTTATTTATTAAATTCTGTGGTAACCAAACACGTCCAGAATTAGTTGATCGTTTATGAACTGCTTTCCATTTATGATATTTTAAGGATTCATAATCATTTGAAATATCATTCTCACTACTGAATAATTCTTGTTGTTGTTGTTGGAATTTTATGATAGTTGAATCACAAGAACCAGAACACTTACGTATTGATAGTTTTCTTGATGAAATACAATTAGTTTGAGGATCACGAATATATGAACGCTGGGTTTCACGATGACAAACAGGTACTAAAATATTTAAAAGGAAAAAAATTGACTTTGTGATCTAATTTTAAACAACTAGGAGTTTTTATTAGTGCATATGGTTATAATGGTTCAGTGGACTTATCATGAAAGGATAATGAAATTTTGCGAATTTCTTCACTTGCTCGTTTACGAGGTATAGATTCACGTATCTAGCTTTGAGCCACACTAAATGTTAGGACAATTGTTACTAACCGTTTTTCGTAACCAAAGTGAATGAACTCGAGTTCCCACCTGCGACTTTGCGGCTCACAGTCAAGACTCTTAATCAACGAGCCACGCCGTAATTCATTAGATACTGTTAAGCTACTCATCCCACTATCTCTTATGAAGCAAAATCTATGAGGATATTTATTATAAGGAACATTTCGTCGATGAATCCTTAAGCTACGATCTATCACCTGTTATGCTTAGATGTAAATGAATTCATAGTTCAGTAGTTTAGGCTCAAACTACCAAAATTAGGCTTCTTTGATTATAATAGTAACGGTATTTTAAGAATTCTAAAAAATTGTCTTTGAATTAACTGAAGAATGAGTAGATGTCTAGATTTAAGATTGGTAGTTTTGTGAAACTTGAGTAATTTTAAGTGAACATTCCATAAAAACTGACAAAGTGCTGGAGTTCATAAATTCTACCAAAACAGAGTTATAGTTTATAATTGGTAAGACGATCGAACAATCGTCAGACAAAGTTTCGAATTGGTTTTACTATTGTCACCACTAGTAGTGATTCATGATGAACATTGTCTTTGAAGTGATTGGTTTTTTCCTCAACAATTTTTCATTGAATAGGAATATATTTTTCTTTTTAAGTTTGTTAATGATCCGAAAAATTCGATAATAATTTTTTCAGGTGTATAACTTACTTTCTAGTTGTTATTGAATACTAACAAGAAAGAAATTCATTGACAGGAACTAGTGCTAATTGTCCACAAACGTATCATAAGCTTTATTTCGACCTATGAACTGTTATTATGCGACTCACCATTCTTGAGTTATGCCCTGTCTATCAATTACTATCTCCCTTATTCACAGCTACATTTGGCTAAATCTTGTACAAATTTTGCTTTCATATTTTATGG